ACTATAGCCCACTTCTTCGGATGCTATAGTCCACGAAAGCTTATGCTCTAATAAACTTGTTAGTCTCTAAGGTGCCACAAGTCCTCCTGTTCATCTTTAGAAGGGTATTTTAATGGTCCTGTACATGATAACTCAATGCATCCCTAATTAGCTCTTTAAGAGGCCATACACCCATTTTGCTCACCCAAACAATCTGGAAAGTTCAAGTAGCAAGAAGTTCATCACTACACAGATATTTGAAAATAAATGTTTTAATTAAAGCTGCTATTTCTTTTTCTACTGCAGGGCAGTGGACATCTTGCTGTAAAATCATTTATGACGTCAGCAAATATGAGATCCAATATAGAAGACTTTACTAAAAAAACCCTTTTTCACAATTTTTAAAGTATTATTAAAAAGGCATCAACAGTTAAGCATAAATATCAAACATTAAAACCTCTTTATGGTTTTCACTAGCTTTATTGCTAGAAACCAGTTTATCAGATTTACATTAGAAACTCATAGCACTTGTAAGAATAAGATTTGTGACAAGACAGCTATGGACAGAAATAACCTCAGGAATAATAATCTTCAAATAGATTTAAATTAATTCATGATGAGAAAGGCTGTCTATTTTAGCTTTTAAGATTTCCAGATTGAAATAAGCAAGGGAGAGTTTTCCTGAAATGATGGCCAGTTAATGGAATTAAAGTTGCATTCCTATTTATGCACTAAGTAAATCTGCATTCAACCAGTAACAAGGATTAAAATACAGAAGTGTTGAAATGGAAGTTGTTGCAACTGCATTTATTAACTTTAAACATGCACAACATTCCTTCTATTACAATCAAAATTAGTTACATTAAGTAAACTGAAATTTACTTGGGTTATTGCATAAAAAATAACAATTATACCTTTATTAACCTATTAATTCCAAAATGAACTAATTATTTCTTCCTTTATACATTAGCAATCAGTTTTTCAGTTTCTTTTTGTAAACATTCTCACTATTTGATTTTGGCTATTTCTGTATCAAGAAATATCTTTAAAATATTTTTTTTAAAGTTTATTTGCATTGTGGTGGCATAGACTTCATCAGAAAATTGTTTTATTAGCAATAAAAACAATTTTAATAAAATAGCGACTAAAAACTGTGTTAAGCAGTCATTTTCTGTTTGCACCTTATATTCCCACTGTTGGCAGCTATACAAAAAAAATGTTGGCCACCACACAGATGCTACATGCAATCAATTATTATTATATGCATTGTGTTAGCACCTAGAGGCCCCAACCCATCAATCAAGCTTACACACTGTACACACACATAATGAAAAGATGGTCCGTGCGGCAAAGAGTTTACAATCTTGGGTCACAATAAAAAAATAAAATCCACCCAAAATATTTAAAAACAAACAACAACAACAACTTATGCTTGTCTTTTATGCACTGTGAGGAATCCCCATTATATGCAATTGGACTACTCAGAAGGCTGGATTCTCATCTGCATTGCAGTTTAGACACGTATGTTTTGGGGCCGTCCAGCCCTGCTACGTGTGAGAGCTGCTGCAGAGTGAGGGGGAAATCAGGAACGAGATGGCTATGTCACCCCTGACAGTTTTATGCCAGAAGAGATATCCCTCTGTGCAGCAGATATACTCCACTGGGTATTTCCCTTTTGCATTACTTGGACATAGTGTACCAGAGAATGTGGTCTGAAGTGCACAATTTAAGCACATGCTTCAATCTTCATAGGATAAGGGCCTGTACATGTGTGTATGCATGTGATACAGGATGGCTATCATTTACAGCAGGCATATTGAACAAGATAGCAACTCCTTTAAAAGAGTAAAGGGACTTCCTATTTTCTACACCAAATCACTGAAAAATTAGTATCTATACTGTTTTTATCTCTTCAGTTAAAACTGAAATTTGGAATCCTCACTTACACACAAGAAGTTTTCTTTGTATTTATACCTTTAACCAGAATAATCACCAAAAATAAAAACTCTTAATCTTCCTCTGCTATGAATTTTGGAGAAATTCAGATTACATTAAGTACATAGATTTTTGGCTTACAGATATCCCAAGGATGCTTTTGTTTAAAGCTATGATTTTAAAGAGGATACAGTCATCCCGCATTTCTGATTTAGCACTGAAAACCAATATTTGATGCTAAATTCTGGTGCAAAATCCATTATTGCTTATGGGACCCCCAGACAGCAGGCACTAGGGGGTAACTGTCAATCTCTCTAGTGTGTCAATCATGGAACAATTGGAACAGCGGCTCAGATGAATGAGAGACAAGAGCAGAAAAACAAAGAAAACTAGTCAGAAGCAGATAAAGCAACAGCAATACTAAATTTGATGTATCTATATAAAGTGGGTGATCAGTGCAGTTAAAGCATTGCTCAGGTTAAAAGATATCAAACAAGTACTGGACTGTATGTATATTATTTCATTAAATACAATGTATTTTTGTATGATCCGAATATCAGCATAATGTGAAAAAAAAGAACATGCTTAGATCTGTGCAAAAGGACAGAAATCAGAAAAATAACTCATTAAAAATATTTATAGGGCTAGTTCTGCCCTCAAAATGTGAGCATTTGGCTCTCCAGGTTCAGTAAGAGCTAAAACGATGACTCTGAGGGCAAAATTTGCCTAAGTATGTCTATATATGTCTATCTATATATAGCCCAAAAAAGTTAGTAAAATTGAAAATGAAACTGGAAAAAATGTAGACTTACAAAACGGTTTAGAAATAGGGAGACTCACTAGGAAAAAAATTAAAAGGGAGAACAAATTATACCAAGTAATTTACTTAACAGTAACTTTTTCCTATAACTTTGTAATCATATCAGACACTTACGTTTGAATACAAGTTCTCTCCCTCATCAACATATTTTTGCTACTGCCCAATCCTGCAGTCAACTTTTTGCCATATAGCTTTAGTTATGGTTGAAATGTAATTTCCATTATAAATCCTCAAGTTCCGGCTCTTAGTTTTCCAAGATGTTTATGGGTTCAATTTTATCATACTATGATCATTTTCAGGCCAACTGATGGGGATTATTCTACACAATTTTGAAAATATAAATATAAAAAATACAATTTGCCTACCCCCAATTTGGATAAATCAGACTTCTAAGCACATTTTTGACCAGACACTTTCTTTTGCATTCCAGTAGTTCAAAATATATCTACACCTACATTTCATACCTGTTATGTACTCAGTCCTCTTAAAGAAATAAAGAGCAGCCTAAGCAACAAAATTTGGATCTGGATCAAAGCCCAAATTTCTAAAGAAAAACAAGCAGTTTGGAAATGTTCTGCCTAACGGGAACAGTTTGGGTACACCTTAATAGGAACAAGTGTTTTCCTCCTGTTTGAAGGAATTTGCTTGAGAAATAGAAGCATTTGAAAAGAATACCAAGATAGTAATATATTGCACTTTCCTTAACTATGTATCAAAGTCGTGACACGTAGGCTCCCAGCTATGCTGTGTGTGTTGTTTCATGTATAAACACATGTACAGTTTTACAGATACATACATAGCAACTTTGATTTAATTGGCTGATCTTTCAAACAAGTGCATTAAAGAAAAGTTATTAGACCATTAATCTGTCAGTTTTAAGTTTTAAAAATCCAAGAAACTTCAAGGCAAAAATAGTTTAATGAAACATAATGGTCCACATTTTATCACACAGAAGCATGGATATATGAAGTTAAGGTTTTCACAGCTCTGCCACACTATATACAATGTTGCCAGCTGTCAGTACATTTACAGATCGGATGAACGGAATGTCATTTACAAAATGTGCTCAGTGCTGTGGTGCCAGGTACCATAAAAGTTCTTGATAGAGAAGGGCAACAAAATTAATCCTCACTTAATTTTTTTTTTTAAATAAAGAAAAACTACCATTTTGTTTATGGCGGAGTTTTTCTGATGCTTGGATTGATATACGGAATTGGGGATTTCAATTAGTTGCTTTGACCAGTCTTTGCTGTTTTGGTTCTCTTCACCTAGCCCTCGTTGGTCTCCCCTCATTTCCCTCACAAGGAGGACAGACCAGAGAAAACACCACAAGAGCTGGAAAAGGGGAGACTTGCCTCATAGAACCAGGTGTGATCCCAGGCACATTTCATGATAAAAATCAGACTTTCCCTTGCTCTGATCCGTATAAGCAGACACAGCCCTTTTTTTTAAATTTAAGGATGATTGGTCTGAAAATACTGTTGGTCC